TTTCACCCACCCCAGAGTCTGAACCCTGCGGTCATGAATTTCACAATTTACGTAAAGAGCTCATTGCTTATTATAATTATGCTGATAGATTATCTGTTTGATGTCCATGAATGACCTGGTACACTCGATGTCTTCAAATTTAGGTACATTTTGAAAATTACCTTCTTTTTACTCTACTTTCTCTACTCTACCTTCGACTTTATCTTTTATGTTATACAACATTAGAGCCCCGCCCTAACACCAGAACCCCTGACCCAGGGACCATGAAATTCAATTTTGGAAGAGGCTCTCTTCCTCATCATATCTATGTACTTCATTCATCTGCTTCATACCCAGGAGCAGAGGAGAAGATTTTCAAAGAATTAATGCATTTTCACTATATAATCATAAGAGCCCCGCCCTAACACCAGAACCCCTGACCCAGGGACCATGAAATTCAATTTTGGAAGAGGCTCTCTTCCTCATCATATCTATGTATTTAATTCATCAGCTTAATACCCAGGAGCAGAGGAGAAGAATTTCAAAGAATTAATGCATTTTCACTATATAATCATAAGAGCTCCGCCCTAAAACCAGAACCCCTGACCCAAGGGCCATAAAATTTACAATTTTGGAAGAGGCAGTCTTGTTCTTCATAACTATGTATTTAGTTCATCAGCTTAATATCCAGGAGCAGAGGAGAAGATTTTCAAAGAATTAATGCATTTTCACTATTTAATCATTAGAGCCCCACCCTAACACCAGAACCCCTGACCCAGGGGCCATGAAATTCACAATTTTGGAAGAGGCAGTCTTGCTCTTCATAACTATGTATTTAGTTCATCATCTTATTACCCAGGAGCAGAGGAGAATAATTTCAAAGAATTAATGCATTTTCACTATATAATCATAAGAGCCCCGCCCTAACACCAGAACCCCTGACCCAAGGGCCATAAAATTCACAATTTTTGAAGAGGCACTCTTCCTCATCATAACTATGTACTTAGTTCATCAGCTTAATATCCAGGAGCAGAGGAGAAGATTTTCAAAGAAATAATGCTTTTTCACCATTTAATCATAAGAGCCCCGCCCTAACACCAGAACCCCTGACCCAGGGGCCATGAAATTCACAATTTTGGAAGAGGCAGTCTTGCTCATCATAACTATGTATTTAGTTCATCTTCTTAATACCCAGGAGCAGAGGAGAAGATTTTTTTAAGAATTAATGCATTTTCACTATATAATCATTAGAGCCCCGCCCTAGCACCAGAACCCCTGACCCTGGGGCCATGAATTTCACAATTTTGGTAGAGGGCTCAATGCTTATTACAATCATGCCAACAGTTTGACTGCTTGATGTCCAGGAGTAAAGAAGAAGATTTTTAAAGATTGCATTAATTTTGATGGTTTTAGCCCCACCCCTCAGGCCCCAGGGGGGCAGGGGCCATGAATTTCACAATTTTTACTCCCCTTCACCCATAGATGCTATATGCCAAAATTGGTTGAAATTGGTTCAGTGGTTCCAGAGAAGAAGCTAAAAATGTTCAAAAGTTTACGACCGATTGACGACGAACGACGAACGACGTACGACGAACGACGAACGACGACAGACAAAAACAGATAGCAATAGGTCACCTGAGTGACTCAGGTGACCTAAAAACAGGTATATCGGAGAATGCACTCGTCTTATTTATGATCTGATTCAAAAAACAGAAGAAGAAAATATTCCTGGCATACTTTTATTATTAGATTTTGAAAAAGCTTTTGATACCGTCAATTGGAACTTTATTTTTAAAACTTTAGAATTCTTCAACTTTGGGAGATCAATAATTAAATGGTTCAAACTACTCTATCACGATATATCTAGCTGTGTGCTTAACAATGGTCATTTTTCGTCTTTTTTTACAATAGGAAGAGGTGTAAGACAGGGGGACCCTCTTTCGCCTTATCTATTTATTCTAGTGGTAGAGCTCCTCAGCACCTCCTTAAAAAACAATCCAGATATTAAGGGAATTAATATTAATGATTCAGAATATCTAGTCAGTCAATATGCAGACGATACCTCTCTAGCGCTCGCAGACGATGAAAAATCCCTTAATTTAGCATTAAAATGTATAAACTCCTTTGCTGCTTGCTCTGGACTAAAACCTAATTTTGAAAAAACACAGGCTTTATGGATTGGTGCAAAAAGGGGCTGTGGTCAAGAGATTAACACAAAAGAAAACATAATGTGGAACCATGATGGTAAATTTAAACTCTTAGGTATAACTTTTGAACTAAACAAACCTGATATTACTTATAGTAATTATGAGGAAAAGTTGCAAGCGGTCAAAAAGCTTATTCATGATTGGTCTTTTAGAAACCTCACACTTATTGGAAAAGTTACAGTGCTCAAAACATTGGTTTTACCAATTCTTGTTCAACTTTTTACAGTTCTCCCGGACCCACCTGCAGATTTTTTAAAGAAACTTCAAAATATGTTTTTTGAATTCATATGGGAAGGCAAACCAGACAAGATCAAACGTACAGTTCTTTATAATTCAACAGAAAACGGAGGGCTTAAGGTTCCTCATCTAGCATCCTTCTGTCAAGCTTTGAAAATATCATGGGTCAAGAAAGTACTTGACTCTTCTATCAATTCCCCATGGAAACTCTTGCTTTCGGACACGACACAAAAATTCGGAAATGAAAAAATGTGGTATTTCAGATACGAAGGTTTAGAAACCATTTCAAACAAATTTAATTCATTCTGGAAAAGTGTATTAATAGCTTGGGGAAAGGTTGGTCAAAACTCTACCACAGCCCCTTGTGAAATTTTAAGTCAACCACTATGGCTTAATAATGATATCAAAGTAGGGAAAAAATACGTATTTAAACGAAAATGGATAGCCAATGGTATTTTTTTCATTAATGACTTAATCATGGAAAATGGCGATTTCATGAATTTCATCCAATTTAAAAATGCATACAATTTAAACATAAATTTCGTTGAATATAACGGACTATTATCAGCAATCCCTAAATATTGGAAGCAAACGATTAAACATCACCAAAAATTGAATGAAATTAAAAGTGAAAATATTTTGAAACTTAAAAAAAATATGAAAGTTACAAAATACTTTTATAAAAAGTTTGTTGAAAAGATAACAGAGTCCCCCTCAATGGCTTTAAAGAAATGGGAGGAAAAACTTTCAATACATATTAATGAAAATAAATGGAAGTACTTAGATATTATAGAACTATAGAGCTTTTTTCCTCCTTTTCTCTCTCTCATAAGAAAGCAGACATGATAAAGCAAAGTTGGGATTTTTTGAAAACATTTCTCAGTCAGTGAAGGTTTAAATGTTACGAAAAAAAAATGCTGTCTATTTTTCAAAATTGTTCAAATGGATCTCTTTTATCTATCATATAGAATATTTGTTTTTATGCCATTCTATTGTAGTTCTGTAATGTATGTATAAAAATGCATGTTATGACGGAAATAAAAATATGAATGACAAAAAAAAAAAAAAACACCGTCCATCGAAATCAAAAACCCATGCACTAAATTATGTATCTTAGTGTAGTTTACTTGTGTGCCAAGTTATATTGAAATCGGACCAAAACTGTAGGAGGAGTAGCGTTTTAAAGGAATTTCACAGAAATTTCTATTTTTAGTAACCATGGCAACACCGTCCATCGAAATCAAAAACCCATGCACTAAATTATGTATCTTAGTGTAGTCTACTTGTGTGCCAAGTTATATTGAAATCGGACCAAAACTGTAGGAGGAGAAGCATTTAAAGGAATTTCACAGAAATTTCTATTTTTAGTAACCATGGTAACACCGTCCATCGAAATCAAAAACCCATGCACTAAATTATGTATCTTAATGTAGTCTACTTCTGTGCCAAGTTATATTGAAATCGGACCAAAACTGTAGGAGGAGTAGCGTTTTAAAGGAATTTCACAGAAATTTCTGTTTTTAGTAACCATGGCAACATCGTCCATCGAAATCAAAAACCGATGCACTAAATTATGTATCTTAGAGTAGTCTACTTGTGTGCCAAGTTATATTGAAATCAGACCATAACTGTAGGAGGAGTAGCGTTTTAAAGGAATTTCACAGAAATTTCTATTTTTAGTAACCATGGCAACACCGTCCATCGAAATCAAAAACCCATGCACTAAATTATGTATCTTAGTGTAGTCTACTTGTGTGCCAAGTTATATTGAAATCGGACCAAAACTGTAGGAGGAGTAGCGTTTTAAAGGAATTTCACAGAAATTTCTATTTTTAGTAACCATGGCAACACCGTCCATCGAAATCAAAAACCGATGCACTATATTATGTATCTTAGTGTAGTCTACTTGTGTGCCAAGTTATATTGAAATCGGACCAAAACTGTAGGAGGAGTAGCGTTTTGAAAAATTGTTTACAGACAGACGGACAGACAGACAGACAGACAGACGGACGGACGACGGACACCTTACTATCGCATAAGCTCTTCTGGTCTCTGACCAGTAGAGCTAAAAATGTTGATAGTCAGTTTGAGTAGTAGGTTTAGTGTATGTACCGTGGAAACAACCAACATACGAAAAAAAATATTAGACTAGCGATTCCAACTTGTCCTTCCTTCTCTTTCCCTAGTTTAATCATCACAAACCTGCGTAACAGATTGTCCTACTTTTGCATTGATCAAATAGATCCTAAACAAGAACTGTAAACCAACTGTAATTTTTGATGTATTAACTGTGTCTTTTGTGTTCATTTGATAAATAAATTTAGTACCACAAAATCATTTCCGTTTGAATCGTATGTTTATATACGTTTATAAACGTGATAAAAACAGCTTTGGGGTTTCGCAGAGCTTAACGTGGCTCAAGAAAATTAACACACTTGTATTAATAAATTTTACATTTTTACCGAGTACCCGGGTACTCGATCGGAAAAACGTCCGAGTAACCGATTATCAAAAATTGACCAATCTGACATCCCTAAAATACATATATTTAAAAATCATGTTCATTTGTATGTAAACCTCTGTTAAGGAAGTTGAAAATCCTCCCAGTTCCCATCTATAAACAACATCAGAACCCCCAGGGACAGTCCCTACATCCAAAGTCAGGACCACATTACTACGGTCATCCTCTGCATCAAGATCCAACTTGAATTCTGGATCTGTGTGGTCACGTCCAGCTGCCTGCAACACTTTACATTCTCCTGGTCTTGTCACTCCCTTAAACATGAAGTAAAAAGTATGACACTTCAACATCTTCTCCTTACTATAAATCCTTCCAAGAATATTGTTTCTAGCATGCATTAAATATAAAAATGCTCACCCCAAAACTTTTGATCTGTGGTGGTGTTTTGTCTTCTTCCTTTTTGTGGGTGTCTATAATTTTTTTCTGTATGACAGGTGTTTCATAATACCAAATTCTATGCCTAAATAGAGTCTTTGTAAATGTATGGAAAAGAAGGTTGATCTCAATTGTCACTAATCCTTCCAGAGTTAATCTTAGCGGTCTGAGTTGAAGAAACATCTGAAGACTGTAAAGAAATCCAAACATCAGTATAATTGATGAAGATCTTGAGTAGAGAGGCCCATGGGCCTTAACAGTTACCTGAGTGTCTGCTTTTCACCCCTTATGTACCAAACAGAAACATACACACACAGTTATAAAGAAATTTTGCTTAATATAAGATTAATTTTTAATTGACATTTCCATATACATGTATAGTCAAACCTCATTATCTTGAACTCAGTTGGACCAAGAAAAAACTTTGAGATATCTGAGAGTTCGAGATATTTAGGTTAAAATTATTGAGGTTAAAGACAAGAGGCCCAAGGGCCTTAACGGTCACCTGAGTACAATACAACAATTCAGAGGATCCATACACTGATAAATGAAGATTTGTTGCCCAAAAGCAAGAAAAATAGTATGATAAGCATCAACAAAATAATTGGTATAGAATCTATCTGTCCCCCATTTATCACTATTACCATGCAGACTATTAACAAAATGTCTATTTTTAACCCCATATTATTACTTCTCACATTGGTCTCTCTTGGCCTTTGAAGAACATTAAAAAAGATAAGTTATTTTTGCCTCACTTTTATTCATCTATTATTTCGAAGTCTACCTGCTCATTAAAACTATGAAAGTACTTTTTGTATTACACAATAAATATTCTTGCATAATTCTCTTATTCTATTAACCTTTCAAATACATTATTTACAGTGATTAATTATCAAAGGTGAATGGCAAAGGGGAATAACTTTGCTCAGCAGAATACAAGTTCATAGAGCCCTGGCCAGGACCAGAATACTTGCCTAAATAATCCAGGTGTTCAAAATTCTGGTAAAAATACCCTTGCATATTAAAACTTTTACTCTGTTTGCCTCGAATATGCCCCAGAAGAATACAAGACTTTCAAAGAAATGCATGTTCACTATGTTATTAAATAGATAAAGCCCCCCTCCCCCTTTACACCAGAAAATCTTACCCAGGGGCCATGAACTAATAATTCTGGAAGAAGCACTTTGCTCATCATAACTATACACTTGTTTCTTTGCTTTATTACCAGTAGTAGAAAAAAATATTTTGAAAGAAATTATGTATTTTCACTATAAAATCAATAGAGCCCCCCCCCCCCAAAAGAACCCCTGACCCAGGGGCCATGAATTTCACAATTTTGAAAGAGGCATTCTTTCTCATCATAACCATGCCCTTCCTTTGTTTGAACAATACCAAGGAGCAGAGAAGAAGATTTCGAAAGAATTTATGCATTTTCCTTATATATCAATAGAGCCCCAACCTAACACCAGAACCCTTCATCCAGGGGCCACAAAATTCACAATTTCTGAGGAGGCAGCCATGCTCATCATAACTATGTACTTAGTTTATTTAATATTCAGGAGAGAGAAGATTTTCAAAGAAATAATGCATTTTCACTATATATATCAATTGAGCCCCACCCTGACGAAGATTTTCAAAGAATTAATGCAAATAATCAATAGACCCCCCCCCCCCCCCAACACCTGAACCCCTGACCCAGGGGCCATGAAATTCACAATTTCTGAAAAGGCAGCCATGCTCATCATATCTATGTTCTTAGTTAGTTTATTTAATATCCAGGAGCAGAGAAGAAGATTTTCAAAGAATTAATGCATTTTCACTATATAGTCAATAGAGCCCCCCCCCTTACACCAGAACCCCTGACCCTGGGGCCATGAAATTCACAATTTCGGAAGAGGCACTCTTGCTCATCATAACTATGTACTTAGTTACTTTATTTAATACCAAGGAGCAGAGAAGAAGATTTTCAAAGAATTAATGCCTTTTCACTATATAATCAATAGAGCCCCACCCTAACATCAGAATCCCTGACCCTGGGGCCATGAAATTCATAATTTCAGAAGAGGCACTCTTGCTCATCATAAATATGTACTAACTTAGTTCATTTAATATCCAGGAGCAGATAAGAAGATTTTCAAAGAATTAATGCATCTTCACTATATAATCAATAGAGCCCCGCCCTAACACCAGAACCCCTGACCCTGGGGCCATGAAATTCACAATTTTGGAAGAGGCACTCTTGCTCATCATAACTAAGTACTAAATTAGTTCATTTAATAACCAGGAGCAGATAAGAAGATTTTCAAAGAATTAATGCATTTTAACAATATAATCAATAGAGACCCGCCCTAACACCAGAACCCCTGACCCTGGGGCCATGAAATTCACAATTTTGGAAGAGGCACTCTTGCTCATCATAACTATGTACTAAATTAGTTCATTTAATACCCAGGAGCAGAGAAGAAGATTTTCAAAGAATTAATGCATTTTAACTAATGTATATAATCAATAAAGCCCTGCCCTAACACCAAAACCCCTGACCCTGGGGCCATGAAATTCACAATTTTGGAAGAGGCACTCTTGCTCATCATAAATATGTACTAAGTTACTTTATTTAATACCCAGGAGCAGAGAAGAAGATTTTCAAAGAATTAATACATTTTCACTATATACTCAATAGAGCCCTGCCCTAACACCAGAACCCCTGACCCAGGGGCCATGAAATTCACAATTTTGAAAGAGGCACTCTTGCTCATCATAACTATATACTTAGTAAATTTATTTAATACCCAGGAGCAGAGAAGAAGATTTTCAAAGAATTAATGCATTTTCTCTATATAATCAATAGAGCCCCGCCCTAACACCAGAACCCCTGATCCTGGGGCCATGAATTTCACAATTTTGAAAGAGGCACTCTTGTTCTTCATAACTATGTACTTAGTTACTTTATTTAATACCCAGGAGCAGAGAAGAAGATTTTCAAAGAAATAATGCACTTTCCCTATATGATCTATATAGCCCCACCCTAGCACCAGAACCCCTGACCCTGGGGCCATGAATTTCACAATTTTGGTAGAGGACTCAATGCTTATTACAATGATGCCAACAGTTTGACTGCTTGATGTCCAGGAGTAAAGAAGAAGATTTTTAAAGATTGCATTATTTTTGGTGGTTTTAGCCCCACCCCTCAGGCCCCAGGGGGGCAGGGACCATGGAATTCACAATTTTTGTTCCCCTTCACCCATAGGTGCTATATGCCAAATTTGGTTGAAATTGGTTCAGCGGTTTCAGAGAAGAAGCTAAAAATGTTCAAATGTTAACACACGACGCACACCGCACGACGCACGACGCACGCCGACGGACGAGAACGGATAGCAATAGGTCACCTGAGTGACTCAGGTGACCTAAAAATGTAATTAGGACTTCCAACTCACTTTGACATATCCACAGTATTTGAGATATCAATGTTTGAGATACCAAAATTCAACTGTATAAATTGGAAGGAAAAGTTGTGAAATGAAAAAGTTCGTACATAAGGGCATAAAAATTGTTCCCTATTCTTAAGCTTATGACAAATTCTTTAGTTACAGCAAAGTCTGCTCATTTTTTTATTCACAAATGGTGTGGAGAATATATATATATATATATACTAGCAGATAGAAAAAATGTAAATGTAACTTCCAAAGAACATGAAATTCATTTTGTTTTCCACGGACAATAAAATTAAAGATGACATGCATTGAGAATCAACTTTACAAATCATTAACTTACATATGACTATCATTAAATATTTCTTACTTCACATCTAGTGGAAACTTATGAAATGCTATCTCAGCAGTTGTAGGAAATCCCACTTCCATAATCTGTCCAGTAAGACGCAACTCTCCATAAAGAATAAAGCCAACACTAACAAATCCATAAGCTGACACTCCTCCATTGGGAACTATTGTAACATATCCTTTCATTTCTAAAAGTTTTGCCCCAACCACAAATTTGACACCATAATAATAATTGGCTCCAAAACCTGAGATTAAAATGCACAACAAATCCTTTAAGACATCAGTCAAAAAAACTTTCATAATTTTGCTAAATCTGACCAGTTACAACAAAAGTATTTTAGAATTAAGAAGAGGAGTAAGAAAAAAAAAAACTTACCATAACAAGACAAGTAAATACTTTCAACTTTCAACTTACCAAATGAAAGGGTGAGAATTCCTCCCAGTGGAATTGATTTCTGATAATGGAAAAGGGTGTTTGTTTGTCGGGGAAAACTGAAGTCTCCCTCTATTCTCAGGTCAAGGCTTTTGAAAATACTTGTTCCATTGGTAAGGATCTTGTTTAAAATTTCAGAATACTGTAATTACGAAAAAAGGCAGATGGTCCACAACATTCACTTGAATTGCATTTTACTTCAAGAAAAATGAAATGAAGATAAATGAACCCCATTCCTAAGACCCTAAATGTAAAGACTATGGATTCATCAATTTTAATTTACAGACTATTTATGTTTAATATTCAATGAATTATATATAATGACTCTTTTGTATTTAATTTCACCCTTCACCTTCACCTATCCCTTGACTTCCAAAGATGTCATTGGGGCACCTTTGAATTTTTCCCATTGTAAAACATGGACACTGCCAATTCTTTTTATAACATGGGGTGGGGTGGGGTGGGGGTACCCATCTCTTATTCGCTACTCCTCCTACACTACTGAATAAAATTTTATCAGACTTTCCCAGAATCTTTTTCCATAGTGCCATTGTGCACCTCCTATATTATTTTTCATTTGGACAGATATTTAGGGTTTACCATACCAAAACATGGACTCTGCTATTCTTTCTATAACACTGGGGGGAGGGGGGGTCCCCATCTCTTATCCGCAACTCCTACAGTACCACTAAATAAAATTTAATGAAACTTTCACAGAATCTTTATTACACAGTGTCACTTTGAAGTCTCATAAAATTTCACTTAGTTGACAACAAAAGATGGGTACCCCAATACCGATGTTGTAGAGTAGGATTTTCCCCATAGAAAACTTGATGCAGAGAGAAATTTTCTTTGTCAATTTGGTGGAAAATTCACAGCACTTGCCAGAGCCTTTGCTAAATCTCCAAGTTCCTTTAGTAGCTCAGCAACTTTGACTGGGTCAATGTTTTTGAGATCCAACAGTGATTCCAGGTCTCCTATTGTCATACAAGCCAACTTTTGTCCCAGAAGTCTTACTCCTTCATTTGACAAACCATTACCAACAATGAAAGCTTGCTTTACACGACCAACAATATCAGACACTGCAGTTCCCAACATATTTGTTATTGCCTGTCCTAAAGAAAAAAAAATATGAAAGAATTTATTTCATCATTCGATAATAGAAGTGATTTGCATAGGAAACTGCTAAGGAATTCCTAACTCAAGTGGTACCTCCCACTGAGTCATTATGAATAAAAACATATGATACATTTCAAATACGGAATAAACCAAAGCACATATATCTAAAGATGCATGAAATCATTAAGTTTGGATTTAATGATACACTCAGAGGGATACATACAGAGGGTGCAGGTTTGGTTTGCATATGCAACATTTGATAGACATGCTTAAACATAGGTAACCAAACATTACATAGCCCACCTCAACAAATGACATCTATGAGAAAAGATATCAAACCAATGTTGTGGGAGTATGCATCTCTAGATGCAACATTCATGTGTCTGGTCTGAGTAGAATTTTTAGTACTGTAAATCACTTTTTATATGCGAGAGATTTATTTCATGTAATAATGAGAGTCGGTCTACTCAGGAAAATTTCATGCTTGTGCATATTTTTGTTAGTATAGATTATATACAACAACACCCATTTGTCTCACTTATAAATACCAAATACTTAACAAAATTATCCCTAAATCAAATTGACCTTTCATTTTAGCTCCCCTGATCTGAAGGCAAAAGTGAACTTTTCTGATCAAAGTCTGTCCATTGTTGTTGTCTTTGGTATTATCAACGATGTCATTTCCATCCTTCTGTTTTTTTGTCATGGAAATGACAAACACTATATGGTGGGGCATGAAAATCTTCTTCTCAAGAACAGCAAAACCATGATTAATCATATTTAATCGCCTCTTGTTTCAAAATTGTTTTTGGGAGTGAAAAAAACAATTTCAATTGGGAAAAAATCTCTAATTTTGGCAAGGGGAAAGGCTTGATATTTGGACCTAAATTTGCAGTAGAAAAATGGTCATCAAGTCTTTTGTTAACATGATTTACCTCCTTTTACAGTTATTGTATTAGTGATTTCCCCTGCTGTGTGTATTGTAAAAGGGTTACTGGATCCCAAGGCAATGATGGCAGATTTCAATCCTGTTTTAATATCATTTCCTTCAGGAACAGTTGAAGCCATGTTGTCTTGCTTTGTTTGCCTCTTTAAAATCAAACCATAAAAAGATATAACTGCCTTTAACAATAAGGAAAACAGCATTTTATGTTAAAATTCCTAGTTTGCAATGAAAGCTTAGGCCATTCTAAGTTTTTATCTATGTTGAGCATCCGCGTTCACCCTGGTTATTGACACCCCATATCAGAAATAACAACAATTCATTTCGATTATCATTGTTCTACTATTATACATACTGGAAGTATATGTTGATAATGTCATTACGCTGATTACCCATTTTCATTCCTATTTTAGAGGTAATTCACTTCATTTTAACAACAATGATCGTATTTTGAATAAATAAAATGATTATATTCAATATTTATTTGATTTCATTTCATGATTACACGAAACCTGAATAGCAATTGTCGATTTGGCTATCCCCCGGGCGCGGGCTTGATTGGTCCTTCACAAGATTGCCCGTAATCGGTATACAATTCTCGAGATAGGATTTCTTCTGCAATGTTTGCCAAACTGGGATTGTGTAGACTCTAATGATGTTAAAGTTCATAATCTATTGACAATTACTGACACGTCCCTAAATTATTTTCTCAAAATTATCGTCTTGTCCAGTCAAAATAAGTTCTGAAGCGATTTGTTTATAATTTACCAATTAACCAATTAATTATATCAACACTCGGACAACATACAGGTGTAGTATCATCTATGTAAACACCCAATTAACACGTCCATCCCAGCCCTAGGCGTTCACTGTTATCCAGGTAAGTCAAAGCTGCATTATAATTTTACGCTTGATTGACGTGTATACATGCGCAATCAAAACTTCGAGAGATAGAGAGTAAAAAAACAATGAAATATGTGCAACGGGACCCAGGTCTTGGTTCGAGAGATAGAGAACTTCGAGAGATCGGGAGTTTGAGAGATAGGGAGTAAATTTGCTTAGATATATAAAGGAAAAAAACGGGACCGGAGGTTCACTTCGAGAGATGGAGAACTTCGAGAGATCGGAGTTCGAGCCATCGAGAGTCACCTGTATTTGTCTACAATATGTCATATTTAATATATTTCAGGCATTAGCTACCTCAATTTTGCTAAAGAATAGATCTTTCTATGAGAAAAATAGATAAATGAAATCAAATTCTTTGAATGATGTCATTTTTATTACTCTAAAGTCTGTGTTTTATTTTTTGGCTTGTTGGTTTTAATATTAGGTAGGTAGGTTTTTGAAAGATGGGTGGACACTAAACAGAGTAAAAACTTGGAATGGCCTTAATTAGCAGATACCTGGGGTCTGTTTTACAAAACAACAGAACTTCTGAGACCAAAATGTTAATTTGCACAGAATCTTTTACTTTATATATGAATATGCAAGTTTTTTTGTTTTTGTTTTTTTTTTTTTTTCAGCTTTCACACATATTACACAAATACACACAAACGTATATATAAATAAATGTACAAGACCATATGAAATAAAGAGAAAAGGGAGACTATGTATAAAACTAGTGTGAAAGTTTACAAGGAGAGAGAGAGAGAGAGAGAGGAGAAAGAGATGGGAGAGGGGGGGCACATTCTTCATGTAAAACTCATGTATACGTAATATTTGTGTTGAGCAAATTTTAGAGTTTTTCAACTATTTCCTGCCAGTGTCTTTCAAATTCATCATATTTACAGTTTTTTAACAAGAGGAACTTTTCTACTCTAATTCTTTCGGTAATAACAATTTTTAAAGCCTCAATATTTAATTTTATAGTTTTGGCGAACTTACTTGCAAAAATATATTGTTTTATTATCAGAATTAGTAAATTTTCTAACTTGTATAAGTTTCTATTTGTAAATTTACCAAATAAAATTGATTGCCTATCAAAGCAAACAGACCTGTTCAATTTTTGCAAAATCCATTCCTCAATCTCTAACCAAACTTCTTTTACTAGAGAACATTCAACAAAAAGATGATCAATAGTTTCAATATCCTTCCCACAGAAGGAGCACAATGGTGAATCAATTAGTTTTAATTTAAAAAGATGGCATTTTGTAGGAATTATTCTATGCAAAATTTGGAATTGTAGCCATTGGAGTTTTGATTCTTGGGTTGTTTTGAAAGGTAGCTCAAAAATTTTTTCCCAATATACTTCACCAAATTCTTCTCCATTTTCACTCCATTTTATAACTGAAGTAATATTACCCTTTTTATTATTAATGAGAACATTATACATATCTTTACATCCTTTTTTACTCTTTAAAAATATTCCAAGGGTGGCTGGAATAAGTGGTCTAGAAATTGGCATTATTTTGTAATTCTTAAAACATGCTAGCCTCTTTATATGCAAGTTTTAGTAACAGATTTTCATGAAAGCATTTTGTTTAATCAGTCAACACACACAATGCCCCTTGTCCAACAAAAAACATTCACTTACTTGGATTTGAACAGTTTACCAATCATATTTCATATGTCTAAAGCTTTTAACATTTTTACAACCGCATTGGACTATTCAATTAATATAAAGTTAATTTCAGGAAAAATCATTTGTGTACAACTTTGTATTTATTTTATATGTATTATAAATTAGATACTTACATCATGGTTTTGAACACTTTTTATATAGTTTTCAATTTCCTCATTTGATGCACTTGTTTCCAAAAGTGTCTTCAGACCCTCTTTAAAGTTTGTTGGATCCAATCTACATTGTGAAAAAAAAATGTCTTATATCAAGTCATAGTCCAAATGATTTAAAACTTCAATAAAAAAATATATTTTATTAATTTTTCTCATAATTGGGCTTCTTTTGAAAAATATTGGCCAGTTTAGCTTTAGACACATGGCTAGCAGTATATCCCTAGATAAACATAGGTAATCAGAGGTTATGAATGTTGTCTTTAAGTACACACTAAACTAATAATCTAGAAGTGTGCATCCCTAGTTGCAACATTTATGTAATTTTGGTCTGATAGGGCTTGCAGTTACTTGGGAATGGACTTACCTAAAAACTTTAAACTAGTCACTCATCCAAAAAATCTAATTCAAATCTAGCATCTGGAGCAAGTTTGAAAGTGTTCATCCCTTGATGCATCATCAATGCAAGTTTGGTTTAGATAGCCCTTATAGTTTCTTGGTAACGAACCTGCTTCAAAAACAAAGTCCAAGTGTGCATCCTTAGATATATTATCCATCCAAGTTTGATCAACATTGGGCTTATAATTACTTGGAAATGAGATCTGCTCCAAAAACTTTAACTTGGTCACTCATCCAGAAAATGTAGGTCAGATCCAGCATCCGATGCAAGCCTGGTAATGTGCATCCTTAGATGTATCATCTATTCAAGTTTGGTCATTATGGAGCTCATAGTTACTTGGAAAAGAGACCAGCTCTAAAAAACTTTAACATGGGTCGCGAAGGTATTACATAAGCCCCCCCCCCCCCCCCCAAAAAAAAACTTTGTTGAGCTGAGCTAAGAAATCCACTTAAAATTTGATTTTAAATATATGACCAATTTAACAACATCATCAGCATCATAAGGCCTTGGTAGACAAAACAAAGCAAATTTATTAAATCACTATTTACTTAAATATTAAACTTACTATTTACTTAAATTTAAAACTAGAAATTTATCTAGTCATTCATTCAAAATGGAAGGCATCATGCATTGATATATCCTTTGAAGTTAGCACTATCTAAAAATACATTTGCTCAGAAATGAACCAACTCCAAATTGATAAACATGAGAAGCATGCAATGGCAAACTTGCCTCACAGATTATTGCATGAGCTCTCCCTTGCTTCCAACATAGATAATCAAGGGTTATGAAACACACCTCTACAAATGTTTTCTATAAAGAGGGCAAATCGCACACTATTTTTTCTTTTCTAGTTCGTGTGCATCCTGAATATCCAAGCAAGTTTGGTCTAAGTAGGACTTAAGTTACTTGGGAATGGATCTGCTCCAAAAACTTTAACTTGGTCACCCATTTGGAAAATGTATGTCAGCTCCAGCATCAAAAGCAAATCTGGTAGTGTCCATCCCTAGATGCATCATCCAAGCAAGTTTGGTCCAGACAGGGCTTATGGTTACTTTGGAATGGACTTGCTCCAAAAAATTTAACCTGATCACTCATCTGGAAAATCTAGGTCAGATCCAGCATCTGAAGCAAGTCTGGTGTGTCCATCTCTAGATGCATCATCCATGTAAGTTTGGTCCATGTAGGGCTTATAGTTACTTTCAATTGGAATTAATTTGCTCCCAAAACTTTAACCGGGACGGCAATACTAACGCCAAGGGTATAGCATAAGCTTGACTTGGTAGAGATGAGCTAAAAATCAAGGTGATCTCAACAAAAAAGCATTTAATTGACATATACAGTATCCAAAAGTTAAATATATACTTGTTAACTTCAACTGCTCTCTTCTTTCGTCTTCCCATTGTGTTGTTATGTGAACAGTTGGTTGGAGATATTGAGGAATACTCATCTATGATTGTGTAATTAATCTTTCCTGAAGGGTCATCAGTAATTCCTTGGATTATTAGGATTGCTTTAATTAGGTATCTTGAAGAATTTCTAGTAACTGTGTAATTTAACTGAAAGTCAGACTGGTCTCCAATAATCTCTACATTTTCAATACCTGGAAGGGAAAGAAAAAAACACATACCATATAACGGGTATTTTCTGCGGTTTGAAATTTTTGAGATTTAACCCCTAAAAGGTAGCAAATTAATTTCTGCATTTTCAATTTCTGCGGTTGTACTATACCGCAAAAATTTATTTACGGGGTATGATCATGCACTAAACATTATGAATTATCAGAACGCTGTCATGTTTACATTTTATAAATTCATTAAGACATATTGATCAAAGGTGCATGAAAACTGGTATTAAGCTATTATGCTTAATTAAACTACTATCTTTTATTTAGTTTTTGTTAAAAATATTTCGAGTACCAATTAAAATGAATTAATGCACTCAGTCCACTCAAACAACAATACAAATCTTTATTCTAACAGAAGTTTTATGCGATCTATTAAAAGATAATAAATGCATCCAAGCCATATTCTAAAATACTTTTCTAGTTAACTGCCATCAAAATTAATTTGGTGTTTATATTTTAAGCTAAAACAAACAGTTGCATAATCAAGTACTCCAAAGTTGACGGTTAACAATCACAGGTGTCATGTGCATTGAGGCATAACTAATCCTGTCAGTCTTATGCATTAGGTGAAAGTCACGAGACAATCGAGTCACATTGTGTATACAAGCAGTAATTATTGTCTCAATATGAAACACAAGATTGAAAAAAAGTGTTTAAAAAAGAAAAGCTACCATGTGTTGTTTGCAGCTATCGGAGTTTGGACTAATAATTGTGAAATAGGTACAAGTAAAGATGTTTTTGTATCAACTTATTTAATAGATATTATTTACAGGAAGGTTTTGGTTCATTATGTTTTGGACAAATCCTGACATCTAAAATCTTCGAATTTCGATGACACCCGAATTTCTCGCTAACGAGGATGTGGAAACTCATGAGTCTGCGGACGCATCGATTTTAAAAACCTTGCATTCCAAATAATTTTGCTGTGTCCAGTACGCAGGTTCTTGCGTTAATGAGAACCCTGTCAGACATACGCACCACTTCTCATAATTGCATGTACAAAATATCTGAATGAATATTGAAACAATATTTTGCAATTGTAATTTTTGCGGATTTGTCCTATCTTGGCATAGCTTTTACATTCTAAATCCACAAGAAAACAACATGTTCACTCTATATTTCATTATTAGTAATATCTATTTACTGCCTGATGTGGGAAGAGACTTGACAACTCTTTTGGACTCTATTTGAAACTCCAGATTTGCACAATCAATTTCAAGCTTGAAATAAATGGTTTTGTTTCCCTGGTAGAAGGCACTGTCAAAACAGCATTCAATCCCTCTGCAGTTACTTAGATAATGACAGAACTTTTGTACATCTGTTGGTATCCCATTTATCTGTGTTGAACTGCAAGCTTAAATAATAATACAACTTTATAAGTACATTATTTAATATCATTTATAATTATCAAATCTACCAAACTGTGTCAGTAAAAGAGGATCTTGTAGAAAAATTGGCATCACCTACAATCTATCTCAGATATTTTAGATATACATTTTTACAATATTAGTTTTAATAGTATCTCTTTATATATATTACATAAGTATATATGCACACAATACCTGATGCATCGAATGCTGAACTTGGACACTCTGTTGCTTTCCAAAAATCATAACTTATACCTACAAAAAACAAAAAGACCATGAGCCTTGTTGGTCACTTGAGTATCATGAGTATCTCAAGCTATGACCACTTTCGCCCACCCTGGAACTAAGGCCTTGTGACAAAACTTTTAGAGTCTAGTAAGAACTCTGTAATCATATCACATTCAAGCAGCTTGACTCCTAGAAGTTCGGGAGAAAGACGTTAAGATGTATAATTATGTAAAATCAGTTTGTCCTTATGAATTCATGACCTTGACCTTTGGAGTCATGATATTAAATTTCATTGCAAAAGCTTAAGTACTTTCCGCGATATCATAAGGAAACTAAAGTTTACCATTTCACAACATATACAAGGGTTGTTTGAAATGTAATGTGTATTGTACAGTATCTAAAAAGCATTCAACTCAAATAGTGAAATGAATATTACATCCCTTCAAAGTATTTTCCACGGTTTGAAATACATAATTTTAATCTCTGAATCCTTGTCTGAAATGTGTCGGAGTTAGATTTAGGAAGACCTCTGGTCACTGACTGATGATTCAAAGGCTTGTTAGAACTTGCAACAATGACCAGATAAGAACTTTTTAAGTTTTGAAAAAAGGAAAAAGTTGCATTGGATTAGATCTGGGCACCTGCGATAGGATATGTCAACAGCTTTAAAACTACAAGGAGTTGAAGGCTCATGTTTATACCATTGGAAAGGCATTGAATAGAGATATTCATGAGTATCATCACCCAAGAAATCCTGCAAAGCATTGTCACGCTGTGGTACAATACACATTACATATTAAACAACCTTCATATGATTTTGTGACCTTTACCTTTTGACTTCATAATCAATAGCTGTCTGTTTTAAAGTTAAAAAGACTTCATAACCTTGTGTTTCATTTCAAAATCTCAAACATATCTTAATTTATCAACTGGAAATAATTTTATCTTATATATGAATTTGTGACCTTTACCTTTCGACTTCAAAATTAATAGTCTATTTTAAAATTTTAGGGAGTCATTGTTTCAAAATTCAATGCAAAAGCATATCATTTGGAAACTGAAGTGTATCATTCACAAAATTTATATGTATTTATGATCTTGACCTTTGGTGTTTTACACCTTAAAATTTATGGTGGTCTTTCTTTAGTTCGAAAAAGTCAACATCTAAATGTTTCATTTCAAAATCTCTCAGAGAACTAAATATATGAATTTGTGAACTTGAAAAGTGTTACAGAAAGAATGATGGACAGCAAACAGAGAAAAAAATTATATCCCCGGGTTTTTCCATATAAGCCTTTGACAAAAAAGTATGGAATGACCAGTTTTTAAGCCAAACTGTTTTACATACCTTTGAATGGTAGTTCCCCATCACTAGCATTACAGGTCTGGAAGTGGAGAGGTAAATTACTGAAAACTGTCAGGTTGGTTTCACAGAATTCCATTTCAAAACACAATCTAATTGTTCCATCGACTAAAAATTCCTTTTTTGATGAGACAGGAGTCACATGATAACTGAAAATATACATGTAGATCATATTATGCTTTTTTATTACATACTTAATCATAAATATAGGTTTTTTGAACATGAGATGTGTCTGACATCACAGCACCTTTATTTATCTTATCTAAACATCAAAGTATGCATTCAATTGTACAAGTCTACAATAATAGTTTGTTTTCATACAACAGAATTTAAAATTTCACAAAGTCCTATAATTCTCAGACACAAATTATCTTCATTTCTTACCCCCAGTGGACAACACCATGAATACCAAATTCTTCCCATCTACCTGAAAGAGCAAAGAAGCCCATAGGCCTTGAAGGTAACCAGAGTAATATTACGCAAATTTTTCTTGAAATACTCCTTACTCAAAATCCAATCTTATGTAAAATTTTCATAAATAGCTACTGCAACATGAAAATGTTTGTGTGAGGGAATTTTTTGCAAATTTTGCGATGAGTGAAGTTTCACAAAATTTATCAATATATGCAAACTGTTTCAAATAATGTATCATACTATACAAAAAACGAGAGCATTTTGTAAACACTTTTTTTAACTCCAATAAAATTAACCCCCAACAACACTTTATGTATATATCTTAATACTGCATGACTAAAATTAAATGAGGTGAACTCAATTTCATCTGCCCCACAAGGTTACTATGAACAGACAAAATTTGAAATCAAAATGACTATGTAATATCAATGAATGAAAGCAAATAAAAACTTTTCTTTACCCCAATCTCGATTGAAAATGCTGTATGGTACTTTAAGATTATCGATGACTCCCTCCATGTCATAGGTACATGTATCTATGATGAGCTCCATCTGTACATGTCTCTGTACAGGCTGTATGTACACACAACACATAACCCTATCACAGGAGGATGGCACATGACAGCGCACTGTGTCTGTGATGTTGGTTAAAGTGTCATTGGGAAACATCATGCACTCTGAAATAAAAAGACAGTCATTACATATACATGTATTATTTTTAAGGTATGTCACTCCTCAGCTTTTAAGAAAAGTTTGGTCAAACACAATAGTCATGGCAGACATAAAAAGATGGATAATTATAATGAAAAAAATTTGATCAGGAAAAGCTCAATTGAACCAAAAACTCAGATAGAAAGAGCTCAAATGTTTACCATTGTTCCATCCATTTGTGTCAACAGCTCCATACACACTGTCTGACAATGAACACTTTTCTGTTGCTGTCAAGAAGTGGTCAAGCCCAAGATCCAACAACAGTTCATTGGCTTGTGAAGGTTTAATGTTATATACTTGGTCAATAGATCTATTCCTCATCCAATGTGTAAGTGAGAAATCTAGAAAACCAGAAGTCTCTGATGAGACTGTAGCTCTACTGGTCTGTTTGTATAACAAAAGAAAAGTAGCACTTGGATTTGAACATTGCAACATGCAACAATAAATAGAATTATGTATCTTAATGTAGTCTACTTTTGTGACAAGTTATATTGAAATCATTATGACGAATGAAAACTAGGAGTAGTAGCGTTTCGAAAGTATTTCACGGAAATTTCTATTTTTAGTACCGGTAACCATGACAACACCACTCACCCAAATAAAAAAAAACAGAAATACATATTATGTATCGTAGTGTATTCTAACTGTGTGCCAAATTAGATTGAAATCAGACCAAAATTGTAGGAGGAGTAACGTTTTAAAGGAATTTCACAGAAATTTCTATTTTAAGTAACCATGGCAACACTGTTCATCGAATTCAAAAACCAATGCAATAAATTATGTATCTTAGTATAGTCTTCTTGTATGCCTAATTATATTAGAAGCAGACTAAAACTGTAGCAGGAGTAGTGTTTTAAAGGAATTTCACAGAAATTTCTATTTTTAGTAACCATGGCAACACCGTCCATCGAAATCAAAAACCGATGCACTAAATTATGTATCTTAGTGTAGTCTACTTGTGTGCCAAGTTACATTGAAATCGGACTAAAACTGTAGCAGGAGTAGTGTTTTAAAGGAATTTCACAGAAATTTCTAATTTTAGTAATCATGGCAACACCGTCCATCGAAATCAAAAACCGATGCACTAAATTATGTATCTTAGTGTAGTCTACTTGTGTGCCAAGTTATACTGAAATCGGACCAAAACTGTAGGAGGAGTAGCGTTTTAAAGGAATTTCACAGAAATTTCTATTTTTAGTAACCATGACAACACCGTCCATCGAAAATCAAAAGCCGATGCACTAAATTATGTATCTTAGTGTAGTCTACTTGTGTGCCAAGTTATATTGAAATCGGACCAAAACTGTAGGAGGAGTAACGTTTTTAAGGAATTTCACAGAAATTTCTATTTTTAGTAACCATGGCAACACCGTCCATCGAAATCAAAAACCGATGCACTAAATTATGTATCTTAGTGTAGTCTACTTGTGTGCCAAGTTATATTGAAATCGGACCAAAACTGTAGGAGGAGTAACGTTTTTAAGGAATTTCACAGAAATTTCTATTTTTAGTAACCATGGCAACACCGTCCATCGAAATCAAAAACCGATGCACTAAATTATGTATCTTAGTGTAGTCTACTTCTGTGCCAAGTTATATTGAAATCGGACTAAAACTGTAGGAGGAGTAGCGTTTTAAAGGAATTTCACAGAAATTTCTATTTTTAGTAACCATGGCAACACCGTCCATCGAAATCAAAAACCGATGCACTAAATTATGTATCTTAGTGTAGTCTACTTGTGTGCCAAGTTATATTGAAATCGGACCAAAACTGTAGGAGGAGTAGCGTTTTAAAGGAATTTCACAGAAATTTCTATTTTTAGTAACCATGGCAACACCGTCCATCGAAATCAAAAACCGATGCACTAAATTATGTATCTTAGTGTAGTCTACTTGTGTGCCAAGTTATATTGAAATCGGACCAAAACTGTAGGAGGAGTAGCGTTTTAAAGGAATTTCACAGAAATTTCTATTTTTAGTAACCATGGCAACACCGTCCATCGAAATCAAAAACCGATGCACTAAATTATGTATCTTAGTGTAGTCTACTTGTGTGCCAAGTTATATTGAAATCGGACCAAAACTGTAGGAGGAGTAGCGTTTTGAAAAATTGTTTACAGACAGACGGACAGACAGACAGACAGACAGACGGACGGACGACGGACACCTTACTATCGCATAAGCTCTTCTGGTCTCTGACCAGTAGAGCTAAAAATTATAGAGGAAAAAAATTAAAACCAAGTGCATGCATTTACTTTATAAACAGAGGTCCAAGGGTTACAAAACTCACCTAAGTCACATTCTATAGATTTACCCTCAAGGTTCAATGACTCTTTGACACGATAACTCTCACTGGGATAAATGACTGTCAATTTTTTTTTATAAATTTATAGAATTGTCAAAAGGGCATTTCTGTCAAATTTTGCCAGACAATGATTGCTGAAATTACTTGATCTCATACCAATCCGTATTTATATCCCGATACATTTTAAAATGATACCTTATTAAGGTCTTCCGTTTCCAACGGAAGACCTTCTACTGATTGTGATGATTAAGATTATTCTTTTTTTTTTTTTTCCTAGACGCCAACTTTGACGCTTCATATCTTCCTCATTTTTAAACAGATTTTGTTCAAATTTTCAGAGCTTTTAGACTTTACAAAACACTGTCAGAATACCATAATACAATTTGGAAATTACCTTCTGTTCACGAGTTATTCCCCTTTGATTGAATTTTGCATGCCTCCGATTTCCAGACAAAGGATCAGAAATGGTTATAATTGGAGCACAAAACCTTTTGAAATTGAAAAGAGGAAGCATTGAAGTTGTGCACATCGGTTTTTGTTTTTTGATTTTTGCATTAAAAATGGCGCTAGAGAGGGGTCAAAAGTTAGAACGCGGAAAACAGCAAAAAATTTGACATATTTTCCTTTATATCTTGAAAACTAGAAATATTTTGTTAAGACATGTAGAACAAAAGTTGTGCATAATTGTAAGGGCTTTCATAATATACTATTTAAAAGGGGCTGGCCCCTATGATTAGGGATCTTGGGCCCTTAAAAGTTTTTGCTTTATAACTCAAAAACGGTAAATATTTCGATCTGGATCCTGGGAACAAAATTGTTCTTTTACACCTTTTTGATCTAATGAAAATGTTGTTTTGTTCGAGTATACCATGGGTATTGCGTAATACGTATTAGAAAGCAGGCCAGGTAAACAGGTAACGTTTTTCATTCGGCAAGGAAATCAGGCCTCTTCATGTGTATAACTTAAACAGACTTGCTTTCAATAATATACCCTGCGGTATTTAATGTTAATTTTCTTTTTAATAAGGTTTAAAACGTGGTTTATGGTTTACTATTAAATTATTTATTACAACTAGTCTTTCTTTTCTTCTTTTTTTTAAATTAGATTAATAGTGTTCAAAAGCGGAGAATATTAAATCTATCTTTCTACGTTTATTATTACAACAAACTTTGTAAGTGATTTTAAACTGTATGCATTGAATAATTCACGATCATTAGCTGTATGCATATTACGGTCTCCATGTTCAGCTCGATGTTTAGTTATGTAACCCAACGCGCGAATCCCACGCTGTTGATCGAGGTCACCAGTGTACTAGCCACCTGTGGCCATAAACAAAGCTAGTATTTTTGATCGCGTATAATGTCAATTTTGTACAAAGAGGTATTAATTAATGGAAAGTTATGTTTTTAATTATATCGAATCAGTAAGATTACTTTACCGATCTTTTATAATCTTAATTCCAAACACTGGTGCATAAAAATCATTTTGAATTTTAATCGCTGTTTTTGTCTGTTCACGCAATAATACAATTAAAAAAAAGTATTGCTCTATCCCGTGTTGTTGTATTTTAATTCATCTGCAATTGTAATTGAATGGGGGCTTCGGTAAATAATTGTAATTACTACGCATGCTACGCACATATTATTTTTACCATCACTCTTGTGAATGTCCATTTATTATTTATAGAATTAAATAAACATTAATATAAATAAAAATTCCTTCAAATATACATGTACTATAATTCAAGTCTTTGTAATATAGCAAACAGTTTCATCCATCTCTGCCGCTTTGTGTCTTTAAGTGTTGTAGTCCAGTCCTCGTTTACATACACGTGGCCACAGAGAGCCGCAGGCACCTCGATGTTGAAATACATTGTTGCTCTACACCGCACAAACAACTAACGTGTACATGCAGTGTAGTAATTGGCAAAGATTGTTTGAAAAATATAAACTCGCATGTGTTCGCTACGAAGCATTCATTTTAAAATTTTATTTACATGTAGATACCTTATAAGAACAAAATAAAGTAAATGTATAACACCTAGAACAATGTTTAAAAATTAAAATACAAATATCGTGTGCTCGGAAGGGAAGATGGCTTGAAAGTGTGTGTCTGTGAATGCTTAGATCTAGCAACACACTTCATAAAAGTTAAGCATACTTGTGTCCAAATCCTTTAAAAGTGGGGGCAATCCCCAATCCTCGCACCCTTCCTTTTTGAATCTAAAAATATATACCATACTGAGAGTTGTATATAGAGCGGGAATGTTATTTTATTAGTCCTTAAAGGCACAACTTAAGAAATGACTTATAAATTTTTTTTAGATAAGATTGTTTCGCGATACAGCTGTGATAAATCTTAGGAACTTCTAAAGTTATAACTTAGGCATATCTTAAGATAACTTAGGAAACGTTTTTGAAACAGGCATGTCAAGCATTCAGTCAGATCTATTACGACGTCCATATTACCAGATAAGAGAATGAAATTTTGTTTTGTATATAAAGTGGTTATTAAAAATATGCATGTTACAAAAATGTATGTTGAAATCTTCAAAAGCTATCGAATTATTTGCATACGTGTACTCGTACATATGAACATTGATCAACACTGATCAAGTGTATACCGGGACCCGGGATAGTCTTATTATAGCTCTTGCTTTGTCAAATCATTACTTTCATACCCCTTCTATTTAAGAACCAGAAGTCTCTGATGAGACTGTAGCTCTACTGGTCTGTTTGTATAACAAAAGAAAAGTAGCACTTGGATTTGAAACATTGCAACATGCAACAATAAATAGAATTATGTATCTTAATGTAGTCTACTTTTGTGACAAGTTATATTGAAATCAAATGAAAACTAGGAGTAGTAGCGTTTTGAAAGTATTTCACGGAAATTTCTATTTTTAGTACCGGAAACCATGACAACACCATTCACCCAAATAAAAAAAACAGAAATACATATTATGTATCGTAGTGTATTCTAACTGTGTGCCAAATTAGATTGAAATCAGACCAAAATTGTAGGAGGAGTAACGT